GATCCGCCTAGCCAGAATACATCATCCCTCCCCCTCAGTTACATTGTTCAGAACTTCTCTCTGCCATCCTTTTGTCTTGTTAAGTGTGTCTTCTAGCCAAGCCTCCTGGAATCTAGTGCCTACCTGCAGGGCTTGCCTAATCCTTCTATTGTTAATCAATTGTGACCGTTTTATTTTTAAACTTCTTCCTTTCTCACAATATGTTTTAGTCTCCAGGCCTTGGATCATGTTAGTTGCTCTTCTCTGAACTTTTTGTTGTAGTGTGACTTTAACCTCGCTTCTTTGTTATATACTTCATTAATAAAAATAACAAGATAAAAGCTCTTCCCATCTTGCATTCTGAACTCCGAACCTTTGGTAATTGCACTGATGGTTTCTTGCACGCATGAATGCGCCGCCATAATAACTTCAGCACCTGCAAAAGTAACTTGATTCACTTCGCCTCGAAAGGAAGACTCTTGAGTATAAATGTAGCTCGTGTATTTGGTTGCCAGGCAGGTAGGGCAGTTGTCCGTACTCGTGAGGAAAAAAATCGGACATTCACATTCGATCTTTCCCTCAAATTTTCGTCCCTCCTTTTAGCGCCCATCGTCGCAAATCTCGCAGGGCCTTTCCTTTCCCTTTTTTTAACCCGCCGCCTCGCCGGGCCAAATCTCCCCAAGGGGGCGCCATCCGTAGCGTGGGTTAAAGGACGCGGTCGGAGGGAGGAGCCCCGTCTGGCACCAGGGAATCGGGCGACCGCGTGGGCGGAGAGGCTGAAGACAAGGCGGAGACGCCGACCGAGACCATAAACGGAGCTCTTCGCGCAATAAGCACGACGCGCAGCACCGGCACCCGACACAACAGAGCGGGCGAGCCGGCGTCGTTCTCGCGTGGCGCGGCCGGAGTGGTGCGGCGGCAGGAGCGGCGGGCGCGGGCAGAATGAAAGGGCCGTCGGGCGGGCCGGCGTCGGAGGTGATCCGCGAGGGCGAGCTGGAGAAGCGCAGCGACAGCCTCTTCCAGCTCTGGAAGAAGAAGCAGGTGGTGCTGAGCAAGGAGAGCCTGAGCCTCTTCTCGTCCGAGGGCGGCGGCGGCGGCGGCGGCGGCGGCAGGGCCCGCGCCAAGGAGCTGCGCTTCGGCTCCATCCAGAAGGTGGACTGCGTGGAGCGCACCGGCAAGTACGTCTACTTCACCATCGTCACCACGGACCGCAAGGAGATCGACT